CGGTCAGTGGTGCATACTGTAGGCAAGCCAGTGGTGGCAACCCCCGTTACGCGTGACCAATCCAGTGCACCGCTAGGGCGGTCATAGCCAAAATCCAGTTCACGTACTGTGCGCAAGTAATAGCGTGAAGTGCGAGTATGTGGCAGCACTCTACCTCCTGCCGGTCCTCGAGCGAGAACTCCGCCACCAACTGCTTCAACGCCACCGGGAGCTGTCCGATCACGATATTGATCAGACTAGGCTCATGCATTCGAAACGTCCGCTGGCTCACCTCTTCCGCAATCTTGTCAACCCATTCCTCAAATTCCCGTTCGTTCTGGGCAGTGTAGGGGGTGAACTCTCTCCGGGTAACCTGCGTAATCCACTCGTTCCTCTGCTTCTCAGTCTCCATCTCCACTGCTGCAGGGAACCGCGAAGCGTAGACGTAACCCACTGCCGGGTCGATACATCCAGTAGCTGTCGCCAGCTGGTGCCGATACGGGTGTGCCGGCCCGGCAGCCGGGTGCCCCTGAGAGTGAGTGTTCTCGTCGGCGTCGAGGTGCGTTGTTGCTGACGTCGGGTGCTCACTGCTGGTCATGTCGTCCCCAAAAAACCCTTTTTATTCACCCTCACCCGTTACGTGCGGACACGTTCTGTCCTGCGACATCCCAAACAACACCGCGTGGTTGGCGTCCCACGGAGGCCTCCGACGGCTCACAGGGTGCAGAGGGCTCACGCTATACAAAAATAACTCCGCCGACCGACGGGTCCCCGTCGCGCACTCTGACTGCTCTCAACACATACCCGCGACCGGTCCTGTCGGGCCGCTGCTAGAACTACACTCGTCCGCGGTCCGGCTTCTACGTACCGCTCCCGTTATCCGCGTTCCTCGTCTGCCTGCATCACTACCACGGCATCGCAGCTCACTGAAGCGTTACACGCAGCTCCATACGGCCTAGGCGCGGCGTCCAGATCAGTCCCGAATCCAAACGTACTCGACATTCCCAAGCACGGCAAGTACCCCGAGGATGTCCACTCCACAGCTGGGGCTGGGGCTTGCTTCCTTCACGTACTCAAAGCCCGCACGGCTCTCTCGCCAACGACTACGGCCCTTCGCCGTCGGCTTCAACACCCAGTCAATTACACCCCTTTGCAACCAACCACCGACACTCGGCAGGTGTCGGCCCCCGCGCGTGAGTTTGGCACCCGTACGTGAGTTTGGCACCCGTAGTGGTGGTCTGGACCCCCCGGACAGCCCCTGCAGATCCAGTAGCTGTCGCCAGCTGAGCTGGTTGTGACTCGAGGGCTGAGTGGGGTGCCAGGGGTTCACGCCAATACAGAAATAATATATAACTCTACGGGTCCCGGTCGCACACTCTGACGGCCATGCTACTACAAAACTCGGCAGCGTCCTTATCCCAGGCTTGAGTCGGAGACGTTTGATGAGGACGCGTTGAGATGGCTGTCTTTGAAAAATCAGTGGCCTTCATAGAACCGCTTGTGGCTAGACTTTAGCAGAGAGGTAGTGAAGACTAGGCCAGGAGTGCGGTATGACAGAACCGGTAGGTGTGTTAGAAGTGTGGGACTATTGTGCAGTGCTGTTGGTCCAAAAGTTCGAGAGGATCTCTTTGATGTTGCTGCTTGGTTGGAAGCATTGAAATCTGCATTTCTTTACGACGTAATCATGTCTCTTGAATGCCGTGTAATATGGGGCGAGTCGTTCTTCGGCTGAGTTGAAGTCTGAGGTGCGTCCCCAGTTGACATCGTTACCTGCAGGAGTCTTGACGGTGCATTCAAAAAGTGTCCAGGCACAGGTGCACCCAGGTAGTGCAACTTGCGCCCGACAGTTACCAGGAGTGCAATCACGGTTATAGCTGCAGGTATTGTTTAACTTAAGCCACTGGCCGACTTCGACACCCAGTTGATCCAGTTGCTCGTCGGTCGCCCGGTCCAAGTCCAAATCGAGAATTGGAACCGCGATCTCCTTTGCGAGACGAGAGTTGTTGACATCAAAGCCTCGACCATTATCAACGAAGCCATTATTGCACTGGAAAGAGCACAGAGCAGGCTTCAAATAGCGCACTACCCCCTGCCAGACAGTCGGGAAGTCGAACTTGTAGGGAGTGCCAAAGTGATGGCAGTTGACACCATCGCCTTCAGCACAAACAATGCTACCCCCATAATCGCTGCACTTGGACCAGTCCAGGTCGCTCCACTTGTCCATGGTCGCTACCACCATCGCTATAGGTGCCTTTCCTGCTATTACCTCTTCATATTCCTTTTCGCAATCATGCGTCGGAATTCTCAGTGAAACCAAAACCGACTCGGGAAGCATTGTCGTGACGTCGCCTACATCTGGAAGGGGGCTTCAACAATACGGGCTTGCAGGTGGCCAGGATAGTGTTGGAGCCAAGACTGGCGGTGGATAGAGATGTGGCGGTGGATAGAGATAAGTCGTAATCCAAAATGGTGCTGAAGCTGGCTGAGCTGGTGGTGGCCGAAATGGCGGTTGTATTAAACAGGGTCGAGTTGTGTGCGACACCATGTCCCTCAGTGCCCTGTCTTGTAATGCCCAGCCATCGCTCCCTAAACCAGTGGAAGTCCCACGGCCCTAAAAAGTAGAGAAGGAGTCCGGAGGCAACGGTACCTCCTACTACGGCGCCCACTCCGAAAGCGGTAGCCACTTTGCAGAAGGTTCCACCTCTGGTGTCAGGACGTAGGTCTTCGGGGTCAAATTCGTCAAGGATGGGCCTTGAATTCTCAATGACGGCCTTCCACTCTTTGGACAATTCGGACGAGAATCGGACACGCTCCTCAGCATCCAAGTCCCTCAATCGTGTGACCTTCAACTCTCCACCTACCACAGTACGAACACTCTCTTCGTCGGCTGAGATCAAGGCCAATCGGTTCCCGAAAGATTCTTGCAAAACCATCTCAATTTCAGACGTATCCTCCCAAGACGTATCCGCCAAAGACGTATCCTCCAAAGACGTATCCTCCCAAGACGTATTCGCCAAAGACGTATTC